TCCGACGCTTAACTGACTGAGCCACCCAGGGGCCCAGAAATGCTTTTCTTCTAAGATCATGTTACTTTTTTACTTAAAATTTTCCAATGGCTCTGGTTTCATTTATAATAAAATCCCAACTCCTTACACCGTTGTGTAAGCTGACTCTTAAATCCCTCTCAGATTTCTCTCTTACATCTCTCCCCACCTTGCTCACTGTGCTCTCAGCCAGTCTGACCTTTCTCCCAACCCACCAAGTTCACTCCCTTCATACACTTATACTTGCTTTTCTTCCTCTGTGATATTCTTCATTTGGATCTTCCCGAAACATTCTGGTCTTGATTCAAATGGGTGTTCCTCAGGCAGAACCAACACAGGAAGGATTACCGTAACATTGAACTATGGTCCATTCTACCTTTTGCTGTCGATTGTCACTGTTATTGCCAATTAAGGTATTTCCTATTGTTCAGCTCCAAAAGGCAACCATCTTACCTCATTCATTTTGGGGAAGGTGGGAGACAGGAACTTGGGGACAATCCTGCCGCTCTGCCTGTAGGATATACCACTAAATTTGAAGCACCAAAGAGTGGGGTTGGCGTGTCCCTTTTCTATAAGTACACTTCTCCACAGGTGCAAGAACACTACACCTTGGATTGAACTTTAATCCTCAACACGAGATTTGAGAGTTCGTAAAATTATTACATTGCTGTGCTAAAGATGTGGTGGACGGTAATTTTGCATGAAAAGGGTATGAGTAGCTTGATCTCACAGGATATTTTATATACAACAAAAACGTAACGCCTGATCTTATAGCATTACAGTTCAATAACACTAATATCTTAGATATCTTAGATAATCTAAAATCTTAGACAAAGGTATTCTAACTTTGCACTGAAGAGGAATTGAATTTGGGGCACCTGGGTGGCTCAGTCAGTTAAGCATCTGACTCTTGATTTCAGCTCAGGTCATGATCTCGCGGTTCTTGGGTTTGAGCCCCACGATGGGCTCTGTGCTGAAACTGCGGAGACTGCTTGGGATTCCTTATCTCCCTCTCTATCTCTGCCCTTCTGCTGTTTGAGTTCTCTCTCTCAAAAATAAATAAGCATTAAAAAAAAAAAAAGAGGAATTGACTTTGACCTCTTCCTGGCCTCCTCAAAGGCCCTTACTACTGAACAAGAGTATTTAGGATTTCCCAAATTCCCAAGGAAAAGCATCGGTACCCATGTTCTGCCCCTAAAACATCCCAAAAGTAAGAAAATTAAATTTTCCTCATCTATTCACGTTCTAATAAGGTGGTTGCTAAGGTGACTATCGGTTTCAAACCGGTGATCGCAACCAGTTAGAAGACTGTGAAATCAATTTTGAGGGTCACAGGCAGCATTTTAAAAAAATGAACTAGGCTACAGCAGCACTTAATTGAATTGAAAGTTCCAGTGGCCACACTAATCCTGGATTATTCAAGGCTGGAGTGCAGGAGGGGAAGCTGGTAGATAAACAGTTACCTCATTGGAATTCCTGGGTTAATTTATTGTACAGATAACAGTGTAGAGCCTAATTTTACCTATCACAGCCTGTGATTTATGCAGTGAAGTACAGGAGAAATTTTACTTGCTGATAGAAAAACCAGAATTTTCAATTGAGTGTCAATGAAGAACTTAAAGTCTGTTTTTGGAGCAAGGGGTGTCATCACGTAAGATAAGTGTGTGTGTGTGTGTGTGTGTGTGTGTGTGTGTGTGTGTGTTACATATCATGAATGTGTACTATTTATTAATCGAGTTGGTATCAGTTGTTCTCAAAGAAGTTTCTTTGTTATTAGAAGAAATAATAACGTGAGAAATATAGAGGCACCTGGGTGGCTCAGTCAGTTAAGCATCTGACCTTGGCTCAGGCGTGATCTCATGGTTGGTGAGCTCGAGCCCCACTTCGGGTGGGCCCCGCTTCTCTTTCTCTCTCTCTGCCCCTTGTGGGACTCTCTCTTTCCCTCTCTCTCTCTCTCTGCCCCTCGCTCACTTTCACCCTCTCTCTCTCAAAAAAAGAAAAAAAAAGTAAGAAAGAAAAATACAGAAATTGTGTTCAAGTTTATTTTTTAAATTTTTAAAAATTATTTATTTATTTATTTAAAAAGCTTATTTATTTGCTTTGAGAGTGAGCAAGAGCAGGAGAGGGGCAGAGAGAGAGAGAGAGGGAGAGAGAGAGAGGAGAGAGAGAATTCCAAGCAGGCTCAGTGCTCTTAGCACAGAGGCTGACACAGGGCTCAATCCAACGAATCCTGAGATCAAGACCCAAGCCAAAATCAGGAGTTGGAGGCTCAGTCGACGGAGACACCCAGGCGCCCCCATGTTCAAGTTTAGCTGTTAGATTTGGATGTGCAGTGAAACTATTGAGAAAAATATGTTATTCTAATAATCAGAAAACAGACTTTACATTTCAAAGAAGAAAAGATAATACATTTCCTGCAAAGAAAGCTTAATAATACCTTCAAAAGTAAAAGGACATTTGAAAATACAGCATGATCAACTTGTCAATAAGCCCCAAAAAGATGTTCTTAAGGAAAAGGGCATAAAGTTATTGGCACAATTATCAGTTGCTTCACAAATATTAATGAGGAACACAATCTTTGTGTTTAGCTGTGGCAAAAGAAAAATGGTTTAGTGCTAAGTGCTAAAAAGCTGCTTCATCCAGTATGTTGGTGCATATGTTTTTGGTGGCAAACAAGCTGATAAGTTCAAAGCTATACTTCCTGGAAATAACACAATATCAACTCAATTATCACAGAACCTTGAGAAGAATCAATGATTCTTATGCAGTAACAGTCCAACTAGATGAGAGTACTAATATTGCAAATTATATAATACTTTTATGCCAGATATGTGTAGCAAGACAATTTTATAGAGGAGTTATTGTCTGTATGGAGAAAAATATATTCACCACTAGGAAATAGCATTTAAGTCACTAAAAAAAAAACTATACAATTTATAATGGAATTGCAAGTGATGGGACAACAAATATAATCAGGAAACCATAAAGACATAAAAATTATTGAAAACTACTAAAAACAGAAGATAACTTGAAATAGTAAATGAAAACAAATGTATAGAAGATTCATTTGGTCTTCAAAACCTTAAATAATTTTATTAAAGTTGATGTCTATGAGGAGAATAAATTATTGGGGATTAGTATCTCATTTACACAGAAAAATGACTGCCATACATGAAATTAATCATGTTGGATTAAGATGAAAGAATTTACTGCAAAGAAAGTGGATTCACATTACTATTCACAATACCTATGTATATGAACTAAGAAATTCAGTTTTGACTCATTTGAAAAATAAAGTTACAGATCAGGCTCAATGGTATACGAGATGAACGTGCAGCATTACCCTCATGCATTGTGGACTGAAATAAACCTATGAACAGGCAAGGATGTCCACAGCATTAAATAAAATCTTCTGTGCTATTTATATTGATTGGTTTGTACATTGTATCATAAAACATTTATGCTGTATTAATTTTGTTCTTTATTTTACACCATAAGGTAAGTTCTGTGAAACCTGTATTTCAGCTATGTATCTGTGCGTATACTGGGTTTCAGTGTAGAATCTATTTCTCACTGGGAGTTGTGAGAAGTTAGAAAAACACTCAGTACGTTAGAAGTTGGAAGATTATGTTGGAAGAGTCACACGCCTGCAGAACGATTCAGCCCACAGACCGCCAGTTTGCTGTCTGAGCTAAGCTGTGGAGGCTACTGGATACGAGTTACCATACAACTTACTCTGTAGGAAAATACTGAGTGTCTAAGACGTCATACTGACTCAATGAACGTCGCGAATTCGTGGTAACATTGTTAATCCGGTTAATAGAAGGCGTGAATTCTCTTCAGGATTTGGAGGGGGGAGGGCCTCAAATTTGCTTTCTGGTTCGTGGATTAAAATGGACAGTAACTCTCATCCTTTTAAATCTGGATTCCAATTAGTTTATCACACGTGTGCCTACAAGGCGTTCCCAAACAAGGCTCCCCTCCACCCCGAAATGGGTCATTTAGCATTCCACTTGCAGAGAGTACGTTCTCTAAAATACCACCGAATCCTCCTGAGAAGTTTTCTATTAATTTCAACGGTTTAGGCTTTGTGGACGAGCCCAGAACTGTTCATTTACCCAACTGCAAAATGGTACTGCTCATTTTACGACCGTGCCACACACAATCCCCACCGTGGCCGGGCGACAGCAGTCGGTCGAGGAAAGGTAGGCCTGTGGGAGTCAGTGTTGCGCTCTGCGGAGGGAAGCCGCAGGGCGAGTCCGGCTGGAATTAGCCATTTCCTTTCTTCCCTTGGTATTTCGGGCAGCGGGGCGCTGGGCAGGCAGGCACCGCAGCTGGTCCTCGCGTCCCTCAACCCTTTCTCCGTATCCGCCTCGTGTAACCAGCTTGACAACCCCAACTCATTAGAGCCGAGTGCCGGAGGAATGGGCCGGACGGGACCCAGCGCCATGATTAGGTCAGTCCCAGGCGCATCCCGACGCTGGCTCTTTGCTGAGCCCCACGCGCGCCTCCGGTTTCCGGGTGCAAACGGGAAGCTAGGGAAACCCCAGACCCCTCCCTTTTAGGAAGGGCGCAGACGGCGTCTCCGTTTCCAAGGAAACCGGCCCTGCCACTACGTCACTTCCGCTGACCTGTCTGGACTCCAGACTGTTGGGAGGAAAAGAGGAAAACTGAGCCGCAGCCACGACGGTGGACGCGAGCGTCTCCTATCTGCGCATGCGCCCGCTCAGCGGCCTGCTTCTATTTATGTGGGGTATCCAACATGGCGGCTGCGGCGACCCTGGCGATGGCGGTGGAGCCCATCAGAACATAGTGGCTGGGAAGGGGGCACGGTCCGCACTCACGGTGGCGTCGGCAGAGACGACTGAGGGTGGTGGAGGGAAGAAAAGCGACGGAAAGCAAAAGGAAGGGCGGGCAGGCAAACAACTCGGCGTAGAACCGAGCGCCGGCTCGAGCGAAGGCACAGGGCCAGAACAGTGGGGATGGCGGAGCCACGCAGAGTAGCGTTTATTAGCCTGTCACCGGTGAGGCGGCGCGAGGCCGACTACCCGGGGGCCGAACGCGAGCCCGAGTACCCTCGCGAGCCCCCCCGGCTGGAGCCGCAGCCATACCGCGAGCCGGCCCGGGCGGAGCAGCCGGCCCCGCGGGAGGCTGCCCCCCGGTCGGACGTGCAGCCCCCGCCGCGGGAGAAGCCGCTCCCCCAGCGCGAGGTCAGCCGCGCCGAGCCGCCCATGTCGCTGCAGCGCGAGCCCCCGCGGCCCGAGCCGCCGCCGCCGCCGCTCCCTCAGCTGCACTTGCAGCCGCCCCCGCCGCGGGAGACGGCTTCCCGGGCCGAGCCGCAGCAGAGGCCGCCGAGGGAGACGGTGCGCCTGGAGCTGGTGCTCAAGGATCCCACCGACGAGAGCTGCGTGGAGTTCAGTTACCCGGAGCTGCTGCTGTGCGGAGAACAACGGGTACAGAAGATTCCTCCCTCACCCCCCAGACCCTGGGAGTCTCAGGACGCGTCCGCCTCTCCCAGTGGTTGGCACCTTCCGACGCCCACTTTGCGCGTCTCGGGTCGCCTGGGAGGGTGGGCTGGCGGGGGCAGGGGCCGAGAGGGTGGACGAGTGGTCGGTGCTGCTTTCCCCTGCTCCCCAGGGTTGGCCAAGTCTCCCACCCGGCTCCGCCGACCCCCCCCTCCCTCGCCTGCTCCGAATGCCGCTCGGAGCCGGTTTTCCTCTGCAGCTTTCGGGACCTCAGAATTTATGTTCCTTTCTGCTCCCCATGCAAAATCTGGGAGCTCTGCAAGTTACGTGGTTGGGTTTTCCTTGTGGAGCTCCAGCAGTCAGTCATTCCAGTAGAAAGGAAGAGAAAACCTTGGGGGACACGCCCCCCGGTCGGAAGCCCAGAGATAGTGTAACCCCTCGACATCGGCCTCTTCACTCTTATGTTTGGCTCTGAGGTGTGCTTGCGAACGTTGGGTATTTCTCTTAATTGAAGGGGATTTGAAAGTAATCTGAAAAATTTCAGACTAAGGATTCCGCTCTAGGAATGAAGAAGTGGGTTATTTGGTTACTTATTTTCCTCTCTCATGTTGCTATTGGTAAACCTATTTAGCTTTGTTTTCTGTATAGTTTGTTCTTAGTGTAATTGAATGGGAAGGTGTCTTTGGCGCCTACCATCATACTTTTATTTGAGTGTTTATCATTAGTTTATAGGTCCGCGTTGGAGGATGGTGTATTGGCCATGGTGATTTTTGGAGAACAATGAAAAACATCTTAGCTTTGAATTTTTAGAAACTGTTGAAAATCCATAGGTATGCCTTTGATGGAACTGGTGAACAACGAAGATAGGAGAGAGGTTTGTTGCTAATTGTAATCTTTATTGTAGGTTTTGGTGATCTTTAGAAGTAAACTAGAAAGGGAAATGATAGAGTAAAAGCAGTAAGAACAATTTCCTCTGTCGTTTAGAGATTATGCTCTTTATTAGGTTTCAGTACAGATCTAATGGACTCAAGAAGTCATTTGTTTTGTTTTTGTTCTCAACTATCTTTATAGTTGAGATGAATGACTCTTTAGTTTAAAAATATATTAATGTCACTTGATTTTGTTTATTTTAAGGCCAATGAATCTTTTGATCATTATTTGTAAATATTGTTGTGTGGTCAAATCACTTTATTATTATTTTTTTCATGTTTATTTTTGAGAGAGAAAGAGAAACAGAGCATGAGCAGGGGAAGAAGGGGCAGAGAGAGGGAGACACAGAATCTGAAGAAGGCTCCAGGCTCTGAGCTGTCAGCACAGAGCCCAATACGGGGCTTGAACTCATGAGCCACGAGATCATGACCTGAGCTGAAGTCAGACGCTTAACTGACTGAGCCACACAGGTGCCCCTAGGTCAAATCATTTTAAATGTTTGCAACCTAAATGAATTGGCAAGGGTAGAGATCATATTGGCCATGTCCACATAACATTTTATCCTTCAGACTCACTTTAGTACCCCTCCTTTTTATAAATTTGATGTTTCTTTTTTCCAAAATAATTTTGAAAATACTGGATTGGAGCATTTTTCAAGTAAATTGTATTTGATCTTCTCATCTAAGTAAGTTTGCTGTTTGACTCCCTCATCTACTTCATACATTACAGATGAAAAGCATCATATTTGGGTAAAAATACATTATAGTAGCTAATATTTACTGAATTCTTCCTATGTGCGTGCTAGACACAGGTCCGAGTAAGGTGTATGGCTTATGGAATCAGTCCAGCAGAGCTCCTTGAGGTAGGAACCATTGTCCCCACTTTGCAAATGAGGACGCAAATGCAAAGTGCTTGTATGTAATTTTGTTAGTATTTCTTTCCATACTAGTACCACTTGTTAATAAAACAAAACTTCTTAAAATTGTATAGTTTAAAAAAATTTAGAGGATCCTGCCAAAATGAACTAAAATGAGAGTTATAGTAGAAATAGGGATTTGTTCTGATCCTCTTAATGCTATGATATTCATTCCATGATAAAGTAATAGTAGATATTTATCTTTTAATTACGACCAAAAAAAGTTAATTTTGACCCCCTACCTTGTTTGTTAACCTGATAATATCAGAACTACTAGTTTCATGTAATCGGAGAAAGATGAATAATTCAGTTTAGTTTTTCTGTTTATGCTCTCAATTTTGGGATATATTGGTCACTTTTTCTTGTATATTCAGCCATGTATCATTTGTTGTATTCTGAACAAAAAAACCCCCATGGTTTATACAATGCACCTTTGCAACCAAGATTTGCCAGATTTACCTATGATAACTCCCAATAACATATTTAAAAATTTTTTTTTTCAACGTTTATTTATTTTTGGGACAGAGAGAGACAGAGCATGAACGGGGGAGGGGCAGAGAGAGAGGGAGACACAGAATCGGAAACAGGCTCCAGGCTCTGAGCCATCAGCCCAGAGCCTGACGCGGGGCTCGAACTCATGGACCGCGAGATCGTGACCTGGTTGAAGTCGGACGCTTAACCGACTGCGCCACCCAGGCGCCCCATTTTTAAAGGAATTGTAGGAAACATTTCTTTAAATGAGGTTGTCATATTTCCATGAAAGGAAATCACAGCAATAGAAACCAACAAAAAAAGCAAAATGAAACCAACAGAATTGATCTGCAAAGCAGTGATTCCCAAATTTGGTTTTTCTTCCCTCAGGGAGAGTCCAGTTATTTTTAAGGATGTTATAATCTTTTCAAAATAGTTTTAATGTTGAGTTTTTGTAATTGAAAAACTTACTGTGTAGCAGAGTTTGAGTAGAAAGGCAAGGAAAAGACATTGTGTAAAATTAAAAGAAAAAAGATTCTAAATTTTGAAATAGCCATCTATCACTGAATAAGATTTTAGTTAATAGGTGTAGGTATAAATCTGTGTTGCATGTGGATACCATCTTTATCGGGATACATTTAAATCATTCCCCTTCATAGATACAAAATGAATAGTAAAACCCTGATTAACCGAATGCAAACAGAATTGTTGCATATTATTTTTTGTTAATGAGGCAAAGCGCAGTTAAATGAGTGTATGTTGGCAAAATATGAAAAACAAAATCCCTTCTTGTTAGGTTATAAGGACACAGGTTAGCTAAACCCTTACCTTGTTATCTCTGTGGACTGCTAAGCCCTGATTGAGGTGGTTCGGGATGATGACTGAGGCATGACAATTGTCTCTGTCCTCAGAGATTAATGTGTTCACCATTTCTGGCTAAAGGGAAATAGTACAGTTTAGATATAAGTTCTGGCAGTAATTGCTATGCAAGTAATTTTTGTTTAACTTTTAGTAAACCAGGGAATCAGTTAACTAGAGCATCCATTTGTGAATGTGATTAATTGAACATTTAGTATAAAAAGAAAAAGAGGGGTGTCTGGGTGGCTAGTTGGTCAAGCGTCCGACTCTTGATTTCTGGTTGGGTCATGATCTCACGGTTGGTGGGGTTCGAGCCCCACATTGGGTCAGTGCTGACAGGTGGAGCCTGCTTGGGTGTCTCTCTCTCTCCCTCTCCCTCTCCCTCCTTCCCCCTCTGGCTCCCTCCCTCCCCCTCCCTCCCTCTCCCCCCCTTTCTGCCCCACCCCCACCCCATGCTCGCTGGCTCTCTCTCTCTCTCTCTCTCTCTCCCTCTCCCTCTCTCCCTCCCCCTCCCTCCCTCCCTCCCTCCCTCTCTCTCTCTCCCTCTCTCAAAATGGATAAAATAAACTTAAAAAAGGAAAAAAATGATTATGGTCTTAATATGGTTATACTTTTACAGAATTCTATGGTATCCCATTGTCATAGTGCATATTTTCGGTAACGTGAAAGATCCGAAAATGGTGTTAATGAGTTAACATCAAAGGACAAAATTATTATAATGTTTATGCCTGTGGGTAGCTCATAATTTTGATATTTACTGATTTTCAAATCTTTTTTTCCATCGGAAAACCATAAAGCTTACTTAGAGCCTTGATTGTGGGTAGGGGTTGATTTCTTAGCTGTGAAAGGAGAGTGAGTCAGTTTTCTTAAATTTATTTTTACAGACTGTCAAGAGTAAGAGATTTATTTTTGATGTCTCTATGAAGTCTACACAAAATCTTATAAAATGGCACATAAGGTGATTCTTATTAAAAATATATGTCCGTGTGTTTATATTTCACATATAAAACGGGTCAGACCAACAGGAAGACCTAGTGTTTAGACTTCACAGTGACTTGAAGCATAAGTTCATAATGGCAGTCATGGTGGTTGCTCTCTGTCCTTAGGCTCAGGTTAGGGCTGTATCCTGGACATGCTTCATATTTCTTATTTCATTATCAGTCTCTTCCTGCTGGTTTAATTATTCCTTTCAGGTCATATGTATTTTTTCCACAGGTGACTCCTACTGGGATAAAGGATTCTGTAAATATATTACTTATTGCAGTAGATAATTTTACAAGTTGATTCTAAGATTACTTCTTTAAGCTTTAAGAGCATCCTTTTATTCTTATACCCTAGGTCTGATGAATTGTTTTGTATGAATTCTGTTCATATTTTTCTGTCATGTTTTTAGACTGATCAAACCTCAGCCTTTATACCCAGGATGAAATATCTCTGTTCCAAAGTGTGCAGACCTTTGTCCCTGCTGAATTTTTTTCTTCAGATTCAGCTGAATCTGTATCCAATATTTCAATTGTAATATACTTTATCTTTAATTCCTGAAAATACTACCTCAGTAAAAATACCTAGCCTTCCTTTTTTAAAAAATTAACTTTCTAGTCAGTTGTTCATAATTGGGTACAAGTAGAATTTTGACGCATATGCAGCTCCTTGTTTCCCCTTTTTTGGGCTAAAAAACTATGTATATATGAAATGTGCCTGTTAAAATAGTAAACCTGAGTAAAGGATGTGATTTATGTTTTTGTTTGTTTCGGTAAATGGATGGCAAATGTGGGATCCGAGCTGTTTGTGTGGTTTTTTAAAAACCATGTATTGGGGCGCCTGGGTGGTGCAGTCGGTTAAGCGTCCGACTTCAGCCAGGTCACAATCTCGCGGTCCGTGAGTTCGAGCCCCGCGTCGGGCTCTGGGCTGATGGCTCAGAGCCTGGAGCCTGTTTCCGATTCTGTGTCTCCCTCTCTCTCTGCCCCTCCCCCGTTCATGCTCTGTCTCTCTCTGTCCCAAAAATAAATAAACGTTGAAAAAAAACAAAAAAACAAAAAAACCATGTATTATAATAAACTTTGATTCTTCCCTGCTAGAAGGAGGCCATGGTAATGTAATCTATTTGCAGCTACTTCACTTTTCTAGCTTTGTTTGCAAGTAGTATGTATTCCCTGAATGACTATCCATTGATAACAAGTAGGTGATGGGGCACCTGGGTGGCTCAGTTGGTGGAGCGTCGGACTTCGGCTCAGGTCATGATCTCGCGGTTCGTGGGTTCGAGCCCCACGTCGGGCTCTGTGCTGACAGCTCAGAGCCTGGAGCCTGCTTTGGATTCTGTGTCTCCCCCTCTCTCTGCCCCTCCCCATGCTCCCGCTCTGTCTGTCTCTCTCAAAAATAAATAAACGTTAAAAAAAAATTAAACAAACAAAAGTAGGTGACGTAGGTAGAGGTGTTGATGCCCGGCCTCAGCAGAAGGCTATAGCAGCTACAGATACTCTAGTGACAGCTCAGGGCAGATGAATCAGCGGTGACATTGATGAATAACCAGGTGATCCTTTGAGAAGCATTTCCTGACCAAAGCAGTTATCTTTGTTGGGAAGGTCTCAAACTAGAGTTATAAGTGGGATTTTTGTTTTTATCTAATTTTCTTGGGGGATTTTTGGCCTTTTTATTTTGGACATGGTGGCCATAGATCATTCTGTAGGAGGAGACAAGTTGAATTGTTGAGCTGTTCACCGAAAAACTTGAGAATGTGTAAGAATCCATTAAAACTGCAAGTGTTATTTTGCTACAGATGAACATTTCTTTCTGGTTTCTTTTAATGCTTCTAACTCATTTGTTAATATTTGGAAATTTTGACTCTCATTAAATTTAAGGATGTGTTTGCCTCTGGTTGAAGCAGTACTAATACTTTTATTTCTTTTCCCATTTTCTTTGAATCAGAAGAAGCCCATTCACACAGAAGACCCATTTAATGACGAGCAGCAAGAGAGGCAAGAAGTGGAAATGTTGGCTAAGAAGTTTGAAATGAAATATGTGAGTATAATATACTCTTCACTAGGTCAGTTTACCCTGTTGGCCTTTTTTCCTCCTGTGACTGGTTGGGAGGGCTTATAATACCCACTGCAAACCTTATTTTGCCCTTATAAATTGCACTCCTTATAGAGTCCAGGTACCTTGTTTAACTTATATCTTCTCCCATCCTTATAATAACACCACATACTAAGTAATACTGAGTGCGTTTTACACATGAAGAAACTGAGGCTCTGAGCTCAAGATCACACAGTGGCAGGAACTAAGCTACATATCCATCCATGTGTGTCTAGCTCTGATCCTTTGTCTTTCCACTGCCATTGAGAAGACCACTTTAATTCCCTTGGGGTAGTAGGTCTCAAGTTTTCATGCCTCTTTAGACTTTAAGAGAATGAATGTGTGTACTTCTAGGCCCTGGGGATCAGAATCAGTCAGAAGCAGCATGAAATTTCTTTGAAAGTCTCTTGTTTACCTTAAACATTCATGTACATTTTAAATTCTGTGCCATGAATAGATTGGTATTGGTTTTAATGTAAAAATAAATTCTAATGACCTGATTGTGAAGTTGCTTAACATTTTCCTCAAGTTTTCTAGTAACTGGGTTTGTAGGAAAGCCCTCTCCCCTCCTCACTCCTGATGTTTATCCTATGACTTGACTTCATGGCACTTTGCTAAAACATAACCCATGAAAAGCAAGACCCCTTTCGGGTTCCCCTGTAAGCACTGAAAATTGTCTCACAGAGATAGGAGGTCAGGTGGTGCTAGCCCTGTCATTCATGTTATCCAGATTCAACTAGGATCTTGGTTGACACTAGTTGGCTCCTTGTGCTAATGAAGAATGTATTTGGGGTGAGGGAAAAGTATGAGAATGCTTTGGGATGTGGATCAGGTTGTAGGCCGTACTTTGCCACCTACAAATTGTCCTTTGGTGAGATTATTTAACCTTTGTGGGCCACAGTTTTCTTTTTTTGAAGACTCTTTGAAGCTCCTTCTGGCTTTATATTCTGTAATTATATAATAATTTGGGGATGGACTGGTGGGCGTTTTGATGGAAAGAATAGCAAAAGATGTTATGTAAACTGTAGTGTTTAATTAAAATACGGTGTTCTCATTATATATTCTGATGTACTATGGCTTGATTTTTATTTTTAAGTAATCTCTGTACCCAAAGTGGGACTTGAATTCATGACCCTGAGATCAAGAGTCCCATGGTTTACTGACTGAGCCAGCCAGGTGCCCCAACGATTTTTTTTTTTTTTTTTTTTTTTTTTTTTTTTTTTTTTTTTTCTGTGAGAGAGAGTGCTAGCACAGGAGAGGGGCATAGGGGGAGAGAGAGACAGAGAGAGAGAATGGGAGAATGAATGAATCCTAAGCAGGCTCCCTGCTGGGCTTGATCCCACCTTCCTGGGATCATGACCTGAACCAAAATCAGGAGTCAGATGCTCTACTGATGAGCCACCCAGGCACCCCCTATGGCTTTTGTATGCAAGTTGATACATTGGTTAAATTTAATGTTTTAACCAGACAATATATTTACATGGTTCAGAACTCAAAAAGTATAGAGTGAAAAATCTTTCATTCTTTTGTTCACCCACATAATCTCACCTCCCAGAGGCGCATAATGTTTTGGGGGGTCCTTCTGTTCTTTGTTTTTTTCATTTACTCTAACTTGGAGATTTTTTCATATCAATACAAAGAGAACTTTCTTCTCTCTCTCTCTCTCCCTCTCTTTTAGGGTTGCGTGGTATTCCATTGTATGGACATATCACAGTTTATTTAACCAGTCCCCAAATGATTTAAATTGTTTCCAAAAATTTGCTGTTGTAAATAGTGCTACAGTAAATTACTTAGTCGTGTGGTATTTCACAGAGTTGCAAGTTTATCTGTTGGGCAGATTCCTAGAAGTGGAATTTTTAGGTCGAAAGATATATGCATTTATTTATTTAGTTTGGGTATATATTAACCAAATTACCGGTTACTAAGTTACCAGTTTCCATTCCTCTACTACTACATTGGAGTGCCTATTTTTTCCATAGGTTATAGAACTAAGAATTAGAATTGCCCTTTGCAAATGGAAGAATTCCTAGCATATGATCCTATAAGTATTGTGACTCAGGGTATGATGTACTGCTTCAGAGTTAGCATTAAATCTTATAGGGGAGCCCTTGGATAGTACTTGCCATGGAAAAACCAATATTCTGAAGAAGGTGGTTGATGTGTAAAATCAAGTTCCAAATAACTGGGTTATATCCAGGTGCTGTAATTATGCAGGGATAAAATATTACTCTTGTTATAATTCAAATTAATAGGCTATATTTCTTCTCTAGATTTTTATTGTGGCTACTTTCTTATTTCCTTTCTTTAAATTTTTTTTTTCTTTTTTAGTTTATTTATTTATTTTGAGAGAGAGAGAGCACAAGCAGGGGAGGGGCAGAGAGAGGGAGAGACAGAATCCCAAGCAGGATCTACACCATCAGCGCAGAGCCCAGTGCGGGGCTCGAACCCACAAACTGCGAGATCATGACCTGGGCTGAGATCAAGAGTTGGATGCTTAACCAACTGCACCACCTAGGCACCCCTCGTATTTCCTTTCTAAGTAGAGATTTAAAATGTCCTACCCTATGAGGCCTTTATGTGCCATGAGTATTACGGGTATTAAATATGTATGTTTTAACAAATTATTTGGACCCTTTTAATTAAGAAAATCATCAGGTTGAAAGTGATGGGAGAAGATACTTTATCCACCTCTAGGCCCCAGGCTGTCACAAAAGATCACTTCTAAACAGCAAAGATTTGGGGCACCTGGGAGGTTCAGTCGGTTAAGCGTCTGATTTTGGCTCAGTTCATTATCTCATGGCTGTGGGTTTGAGCCCTGAGTTGGACTCTGTGCTGACAGCTCAGAGCCTGGAGCCTGCTTTGGATTCCATGTCTCCCTCTTTCTCTGCCCCTGCCCTGCTCATGTTCTGTCTCTCTCAAAAATAAGATAAACATTAACAAAAAATTTAAAAAAATAAACAGCAAAGATTTTTTTGGTGTTGAGAGGTAGCAAATTGGGATGTCTGTATGTATATTTATATTTATGCATATGTTATATTTCAAGTAAAAAGCCTTAAATAGTATATGTAAAATATTGCAAAATGTTAACCCACCAAGGTTACATTTCCTTTTGTTTTTTAATTTCCTTAAAAAAACTTTTTTGGTGATAAAACGAGGACTTAATTTGGAGGTTTATAAAACATGAAACTAGCTACCTTCTAACTTTTGTTTCCTTCATATAATTTAGATGTCCTTGTCATTATTTCTGAAAATCACTTAAGGTTACTTCTTGCTCTCTGCTTTTTAGAACGAGAGATGCACTTTTTTTGTTAAATTTTGTGTATAAATGATAAAGTACTTGAGGATTTACGTTGGACATACAAAGGGGCATGATAGTTGCTTTCTCTTGGAGAAACTTTCAGAATAATTGGGAAGACAAGACATAGACACACAAATCGAGTACCAAGCCGTGCCTGTGGAAGTGAATGACTCTGGGGATCTGAAAGTGAGCAGAAAGGCCAGTTCCACTCTTGAAACTGGAAGGAATTTTGGAGACCTTGGTGCAGAGTCATTGAATGGATTCTTCCAGTCTCCTGTCAAACCACATTTGTCTGTAATCCCTGGAATAGCTTTTCTGCCCATCATAGGATATCGAGTGGATAAGAAGTGGAAGGAGCACAGGATTGTGAGTTAGCACAGCTGGATTCTCATCCTATCTTTACCATGTTAACTAGCTGACCTTAGTGAAGCCTCTTGGCTTTTTTATGCTTTGGTATCTGTCAGGGGAAAACAAGATCTGTCTAGCCAACTTTATATTTATAGCACAGGGGTTTTGTCAGCGTCAGATGAAAAAATAGATTTTTAATGTTGCAAATATTTAAAGTGCTATCTAAATAGGAAATACTATTTAAACATGTCACTCTCGTGGAGAACTGCTCCGTCTTATTGCACATGTCATAAATTCTTTTTGATATAAACGTGTATGGGATTTTTAACCTCTATTATTTGACTGCCCCACTGATTTTGATCTTTTAGCTTAGGCATTCTGTTCCAAATGGCCTTTATCTTTGGTCATTCTCCAAACGGTCAATCACCATTTACAGACAGTTAGTTATTACAGTCTTCGTAAAGACCACAACAAAGCATTTGGAACCCTTTAAGCAAATCATTGGGCAAAAGCGACCTGGGAGGAGATATGTTGTACGGTGCTAGGCTCTCACAAAAGGTCACTCTTAATCACTGAAGATCTTTATTGACTGTAGTTTACTGTCCAATAGTTCCTTTAGTATCCTGTAGCAAATTCAGATGCCCACTGATCCAGCAGCGAAGCAGGCCAGGTGAACAGTAAAGGTGGGGGGTTGTCTGAAATAGGGGACAGCTCCTGTCAGCTGCAGCCCTTCTTACTTTGCGGGGACTTGGGCTTAGGGTTGTCACATCTTTACATTTCTCAAAAGAAGGCTGAAGTCTGGATTTTCCTCTAATATTTCTTAAATATTGGCTTCTAGTTAAAACACCTGCTAGACTAAACAATACATCTGTGGGCCGTATCCAGCTCTCAGGCCCTAGTTGGAGACTTGGTATACTTGCTTCACTCTTTTTTTCTAATTTATTTAACTTATCAGTCCACGTACTTTCACATTTGCCCCTTGTCTTCTGTGAGCTGGGTGGTTGGTGGTACAGGTGGGAGGGCCTGCCATTTCCGTTGTGGAGGAGAATGCATTTGTAGGAAGTTTCAGAGAACGGAGCAAGTTAAACTCAGTTGGGGGTTTCCATGATACGGGGGAATAATAAGATGCATTGAGTGGTGGCTGGCTCTATAAGCAACGTTAGTGACAAATTGAGTGGTGTGGTGGAGGGCTGAGGCAAGTTTTTGGGCTTCTTGTGGTCTGGAGTATGTGTGTGTGGCGGTTCCTTGTGCTGGAAAGGAGCTGTGTGAAGTGGAGCTGGCTGCCACTTGAGGGAAAAGG